AAGACACAATTGGATGTCGAAACGGTTTCCGATTTGTCTAATTTTTTTGTAAAGATGATCTATGAATGAATACCTAAAAAATAGATGGTTTGGATTATTGAGAAAAAAATTGTAGGGTACCCTAAAGGGCGTCCCTCAAATAAAATTATTTAGGGATCCCTCAATAGAAAGGGATGTATATATATATATATATATATATTATTTATTTGAGTGATGCTACACTTACCACATTTTTATCTCATATTTCTATACCACATGATGTGACATGTCCATATCATATGCCAAATCAATTAAATAAATGAAGTGTATTTTAATAAATAAAATTAGGAAAACAGAAATTATTATTTTACATGATGTGGTATGCATACATCAGTTCCCACATCATGTGGTATGAAATTGTGGTACAAAAATATGGTAAGACTAGTATTATTCTATTTATTTCTCTCTTGAGTTGATTTAATGTATACGAATAGTATGCTAGTTTTTTATTATTTATTAATTTCTCTTTTGGGTTGATGTTTATGTATATGAAAGGTTAAAGTAAGAATGTAATTAACTGAAAAAACCAATATAAATTAAAAGAAAATTACAATAAACAGAAAATTTTAAATATATTAGATTAAAATAATAATAATAATAGGCATTAAAAAATTTGTTCCATGTTTTCTTCCACTAGTCTCACTTCTATTATTTCTCTATTACTCCACCAGTAACTAGCATGTGAATGATTTCTATAAATAAAAAACCAAATATTTTAGTAAAATATAAAAATATTAGGAATGACCAAAATTAGGAAAAATAATAGAATGATCTAACGTTTCAAAAAGTAGTTAGTAAAACATTAGATTTTTACATGTCAAATATTTATTTATTTTTTATTATGTTAAATTTCAATTTTAAGTAATCATAATAACATCTTGATTACCATTATAAAATATATATCTCGTTCATTGAAAATTCTGTGTGCGTAAAATACATAAAAATTATACAAATGTTATTTCACCAAATATTTTAAAATCTAAGAATATTGATTTTTATAAACTTGTTCTTAGTTTAAAGTATAGTCTATATTTGCATATAATATAACATATTATTGCTAATAATTTAAAACCAAAGAATATAGATTTTTATAAAATTGATTCTTAATTTAAAGTATAGTCTATATTTGCATATAATATAACATATTATTGCTAAGCAAAAGAACATTATCATACACAAGCATATGATCATATAAATACTTCTTTGTAAAATCGACTAATTACTAATCAAATTTTTTTCTTCATGGTTTCAATGCGATTTCTTTTTTATTTTTTCGTTGTGTATTTATAAAAATATATATAATTAAAATAATCAAATATAATAATTCTATATTTATAATATATAATTCTAAATAAATATTAAATGAAATATATATAAATATGTTATACCTTAATTTACAAAGAAAATGACCCATAGTACATCATTAAGGACTACTATTACACTATCATGGACATATGCATTCCATAAGCTTGTAAATCATATCCTTAAGTTTGTACATTACAATATTTGGTTTCGCATTTATTTGATTTTGCACCTTCGTTACAAGGTTAAGGTGAATCCGAAAACCATGGCATTGTAATACTCATTTACAAAGAAAATGATTCCCCTTACAACATTAAGGTAAATGACCTTAGAGAAGTAATTGTGAAACTTATTCTTGTAAACACTAGGGTTTACAATATTAAGGACCCATTTATAATTACTTGGACGTCAAAGTTCCATAAACTTATAAAGTATATCCATAAACTTGTAATATCATAATTTACAATAGAAAGGATATCCCTTACAATATTAATGCAAGGGTGGACCTTGGAGTTGTAAACTTGGTCCTTTTCTTGTAAACACAGCGGTTTACAACAATAAGGACTCATATTACATGGTTTGGACATAAACGTTCCATAAACTTATAAAATGGATCTTTAATCTTGTATATTACAAGATTTAGGTTCCCATTTACGTGTTTTTGCACCATAATTACAAAGTTAAGGGTCCTTATAATCCATAATCTTATAATACTATAATTTACATTAGAAAAGATCTATCTTACAATGTTAAGGTAAGGATGGACATTGTTGAAGTAAATGTGGTCCTTATTCTTGTAAACATAACTGTTTACAATATTAAGGACCCTTTTTACAATTACTTGGACGTCAAAGTTCCATAAACTTATAAAGTGTATTCATAAACTTGTAATATCGTAATTTACAATAAAAAGGATATCCATTACAATATTAAGGCAAGGGTGGACTTTGGAGATGTAAACTTGGTCCTTATTCTTGTAAACTCAACAGTTTACAACAATAAGGGCTCGTATTACAATGGTTTGGACATAAACGTTCCCTATACTTATAAAATGGATCCTTAATATGGTATATTACAAGATTTGGGTTCCCATTTATGCATTTTTGCACCATAATTACAACATTAAGGTTCCTGATAATCCATAATCTTATAATACTATAATTTACATTAGAAAGGATCTCTCTTACATTGTTAAGGTAAGGATGGACCTTGGAGAAGTAAATGTAGTCCTTATTCTTGTAAGCACAACGGTTTACAATATTACAGACTCCTTTTACAATTACTTGGATGTCAAAGTTCCATAAACTTATAAAGTGTATTCATAAATTTGTAATATCGTAATTTACAATAGAAAGGATATCCATTACAATATTAAGACAAGGGTGGACCTTGGAGAAGTAAACTTGGTCCTTATTCTTGTAAACTCACCGGTTTACAACAATAAGGGCTAGTATTACAATGGTTTGGACGTAAAAATTCCATAAACTTATCAAATGGATCCTTAATCTGCTATGTTACAAGATTTGGTTCCCATTTACGCAGTTTTGCACCATAATTACAATATTAAGGTTCCTTATAATCCTTAATCTTGTAATACTATAATTTACATTAGAAAGGATCTCCCTTATAATGTTAAGGCAATGGTGGACCTTGGAATGTAAACATGGTCCTTTTGTTGTAAACGCAACACTTTACAACATAAGGACTCGTAATACAATTTTTTGGATATAAGCATTCCATAAACATGTAAAATGGATCTTTAATCTCGTGGATTACAAGATTTGGGTTCCAATTTAAGCGTTTTGCACCAAGATTACAACCCAGAATGACCCATTTTATACAACCAAGTACAAAGGCCTTGGAGAAATTTGAACATGTTTCACATACTGACAGGACCCGCCCGAATTTTCACATAACCCGAGATGAATCCTGCGGAGACCCCGACATCACACTCATGCCGGGTTCACTCCTTAAAATGGTAACCTCCTTCTTCAAAAGGAGTAAGGGCATGAGATTTTCTGCCGAAAATTCGGCAGAATCTCCCCTGTAAATTGAACATTTCCCAAAATTTCCACCTGCATAATACAGAGTTTTATAACCCAACCGGCAGCAGGCACAATATAATTTCATGCAAGGCCTCCGGCCTTCAAATATTCCGAAATAGAGCTGCCAACAAAGTCTTTAGATAAAACTTTCCTTACACATGGCAAGAACTTTCCCTAATCCAGCAGGCGAGGTTTTAACATGCATTAATTATCATCTATAACTTATTACCATTTATTCCAGGGCCTCAGCCCATTATATCACACACTTTAATCAAAAGTACACCTACACAACCCTCCCTTAGCCAACCGGGAGTATGAACAAAAATCTAAACATACCTCGATTTCAAACGAGTTTCAGGACCAACAACAAGGTTTGCATCACACTCAACAAAACACATCATTAGAGTTTAACCCGCGGCTACGCCTAGTTACTTCAGGCTGCCTACGTACCCTTACTGAGGGATCAAGCCACACGTAGTTCTTTCATATCAACGGTCACATCTCCGATAGTATACAATTAATTAAAGCAAAACCAACAAATGCATTTCAAATTTATCACCAATCAATTTCCCACTAAACACAAAGAACACAATCTCAAACTCTTCCTTTATATCAAATCAACCTGCAACCATACCCTATGCCAGGCGTATGTTGCCAACCATTACTCCCCAATCCGGGGCTCAGACCATGCATAACAATGTAGGGTAATCACAAAGCACAACCTTACGAATAAACATATATAAACATATAAACATATATAAATCCAGAAACAAAACCACGTATAAACATATAAATAAGCACACCTACCTCTCACCATCAGGGGAAAAACAATCCAATTCAGGGATTGTTTGACTAGTCAACATGGTAGAGCCATTCCTCAATTCACCATGTGGCTAGGGAGCGAGCCATCCAACCGGGGGACTAACTCTCAACCAGCACGTACAGCCGACACAGTCAAAGCTTGTACGCCTGAAATACCAGTCCTACGCGCGCAGACTACCCCAAATCCAGGATCCACAGCAACATCCCCTCAAGGATGTCCTGAGTTCTAATAACTCCAAAAGTATCCAATGTTCGTAACCAAATGTAGAGCAAGGGAGGTACATATGATGATGTACATCATTGATGCAGAATGCATATTATTAGTTTTCCTAATTCTACTTGGATTAGTTTTCCTATTTTTAGTTTTCCTAATTCTTAAGATTCCTTCTTGTTAAAAGATCTCGTATTAGTTAATTTGTTTTCCTAATTCTTAAAGATTCCTTCTTGTTAAAGGATCTCTTATTAGTTAATTTGCTTTCCTATTTCTTAAAGTTTACTTTCCCTTTTCCTAGACTAAAAAAGGTTTTGCCTCTATAAATAGAGTTGTTTGTAATCTTTTAAGGCAGACTTGATTAATGATAAATTTCCTTACTTTGAACTCTCTGATTCCTTCCCCTTCCCTTCGTCTCTTTCGATCTCTAATTCTTCTCTTCGATCCCTTATTTCTTCTCTGTTCTATTGCTCAAGTGTTTACTCTAAACCTACGGGCTGTTTACTCTAAACCTACGGGCTGTTCTACATCAATTGGTAATCAGAGCCTTCCCTCACTTTCGTTTGCGTTTGCTCTCTACCATGGCACCCCAAACCGTGGCCAGCCTTGCTGAACAGTTTCATGCGTTTCGAGACAAAGTTTCTGATGATATCGCTGGCATGGAAACCCAACTCTCCAAACTCAGCGTTGACTTCAAAGACGAGTTGGTACAGGCTCACACACATCGTGCTGACCTCAAAGACAAATTGGTACAAGCTCACACACATCGTGCGCAGACGGACCTTGCCATCACCAAACTCCAAGACTCCGTTCAGTTGCTTATCAATCACTTTCGGGCTGGACATGCTGAACCTTCTACCTCCGTGGTGCTCTCGAGTTCATCTACGCCACCACCGACAAGTGGCCTTTTGCCCAATCCACCAGTGGATCAAAAACTCAAGGCCGTGCCATACGGCATGCCGCATAGCTCCACTGGGCCCTCGCTTGATGAGCCCAAGACTCAATTGGAGGCCCCCTTTTCTTTTGGGTCCCTTCCACCGCTCCATTATACCCAACACACAACGGGCCCTTCTACAGTTCCACTTGATCAAGGCACTCATCCCCCTCGTCGTTTTGACAACGATGTCATCCGCCACATCAAGCCGACCGCTCCTACTTTTGATGGTCGTGGAGATCCTACGATGTTTCTTGATTGGGTTCAAGCCATGGAAGATTATTTCGCCTGGTACAACTTGACGGATGCTCATAAACTTCGCATTGGTAAGATGACACTACAGGGAGCCGCTAGACAATATTGGAATTCGGTGGAGGAGCAACTATATCAATTTGGACAGCCGCCTGTGACTCTATGGGACGAGATGAAATTAAAGCTTCGCGAACAATATCTTCCCACCTTTTATCGCCATCAATTGTATGATCAATTATGGACCCTTTCACAAGGAAGTTTGACTGTTACTGAATTCCACGCTCGTTTTATTGAACACAAGATACGTGCAGGGATTCGTGAAGAACCCGACATCACTATGTCTCGCTTTATCCATGGTCTTCGTGACGATATCAAGCGTGAAGTCCGTCGATTCCGTCCGCATATTTTGGAAGATGCATATTGCCATGCACTGGAAGCTGAAACTTTTTTGGGCCCACAACGTAGATATACCGGGTATTCCGGGCTCTCTTCCACTCCTACTCCAAATAGTAGTACTCCTAGCTCCACATATGGCGTTGCCGGTCCACCTGCTCCTACGATACCCACAACAGAAAAAAGACCAGCCCCATCCACGGCTGCTCACATCGAATGCTATCGTTGCCATGCTAAGGGCCACATTGCCTCCCGTTGTCCGCACCGAACTTTAACCATTGGCTCCCTCAATGAGGACTCTTGTGTGGACGTGTATGTGGAGCCCCTTGAACCTATTTATGATCCAGAACTTGATAATTGCTGTGAGGAGGCGTTTCACCAAGTGAGTGTCATGCGTTGTATTTATTCAGCATCTACGCCTCCACCTCCTAATTCATGGAAACGCACAAGTATTTTTCAAACCTATGTCCCTTGCGGTACTAATAGATGCCAACTAGTTATTGATGGGGGAAGTACACTAAATGTTATCTCTAAAGCTGCTGTCGACCGCCTTCACCTTCAGGCCGAGCCACATCCCCATCCTTTTCATGTTGGCTGGGTAGATAACACCATGTTACCTGTTACTGAAAGATGTCTTGTTCCTCTTCAATTGGGTCCCTGTCATGAGCGACTTTATTGTGATATTCTACCCATGAGTGTCGCACATGTGCTACTAGGCCGACCATGGCTTTACGACCGCTGTGTGAAAAGTTGTGGCAGAGAGAACACATATACTTTTCAACATGAGGGAAAGAACATAACGCTAACGCCTTCCAATCCGGCCATCAAACCAACTAAGGATGTTCAACCGACTCTATTATTTAAAGAGAAGGCTTCGGAGCATCGATTGAGTAGTTTATCATCTGTAAACTTTGCACACGAACTGCAAGACACTGGTGTGTCCTTTGCTCTATTGCTTAGACCGAAATCTAACAGCAACCCCACACCACTTGCCGAACCCATACATCAGTTCCTCCCTAAATTCTCTAATATCATACCTGATGACTTACCAGATGCACTACCTACCGTAAATAATATTACCAGTTTCATTCCTCCTCCAGTGCCGCGTAGTCCTTCTCCTAGTTCTACCCCTACAGATCAGATTGAGGACGTCTCAGATCATGAAGTTGTGGCCTCGTCTCCTAGAGATTCTACCTGTTTTCTGGTTCATTGGGTTGGAAGGCCTGCTACTGAGGATACATGGATTACAAAAGCTGAATTTCGCCAGTTGGATTCCACTCTTCTGCACAGTTATCAGATGCTCTTCATGACATTGATTTGGCTGCCTCCCGTCCTCCCATCATCCATACTTACAAACATCGTCGTCATCCTTCATCTTGGTATACTCGCCGGTGTCGAGTTCTTTTTGGTGGGGGAGAATGATGCAGAATGCATATTATTAGTTTTCCTAATTCTACTTGGATTAGTTTTCCTATTTTTAGTTTTCCTAATTCTTAAGATTCCTTCTTGTTAAAAGATCTCGTATTAGTTAATTTGTTTTCCTAATTCTTAAAGATTCCTTCTTGTTAAAGGATCTCTTATTAGTTAATTTGCTTTCCTATTTCTTAAAGTTTACTTTCCCTTTTCCTAGACTAAAAAAGGTTTTGCCTCTATAAATAGAGTTGTTTGTAATCTTTTAAGGCAGACTTGATTAATGATAAATTTCCTTACTTTGAACTCTCTGATTCCTTCCCCTTCCCTTCGTCTCTTTGATCTCTAATTCTTCTCTTCGATCCCTTATTTCTTCTCTGTTCTATTGCTCAAGTGTTTACTCTAAACCTACGGGCTGTTTACTCTAAACCTACGGGCTGTTCTACATCAATCATGTACTAGGGAAAACAATCCAACTGGGGATTGTTTGACTAGTCAACATGGCAGAGCCATTCCTCAATTCACCATGTGACTAGGGAACGAGCCGTCCAACTGGGGGACTAACTCTCAGCCCAGCACGTACAGACGAAGAATCAAGACCCGTACGCCTGTAAACAGTTCTACACGCGCAGACTACCACCCCTCAGGGTCCACGGCAACATCTCATCAAGGATGCCCCGTATTTCAACATATCCAAACCATAGCATAATATTCCCGGCATCCCACAATTCCAGGATCCGTAACCAAGAAAGCCCACACGCCCGAAACACGGCACGTGTGTGAATAGTAACCAGGGAAGGTACGTATGATGGTGGAGTTCGTAACCCTTATTACAACATTATAAAAAAAATGACATTTTCTTCCTTAAAGTTAATTGTTCCAAACCTCTCTACCCTTCGGATATATCATAATTCTAAATCAGATAAAAACACATTGAAACATTAACACTTCCTTTCCAAGGCATCGGATTAAGAAGACATCCGAAGGGCCTGGGCAAACTCCGACGGGCCTGGGCAAAATAAATCTCAAACATAAAACCCATAACCGAGGAGGTATTTAAGATATAGCACTTCAAACTGACAATCTATACTCTTTTCATACCTTTATAAATACATACAAAAATATATAAATAACTTTCTAAAATAATATATGTATGTAAGCACCTCAACGACAATTCACAGGGTGGCACGTATAGTGCCCTCAAGCATCTTTTATCAAATAATAATATATATTTAAATATACTCCACTATTGCATCAACCTCAACCCCAAGATATAACATCTGATAAACCCCCAATTTATCACCATACAAACGGGCCCTCGGGTCCACGACCTTCAAATTCCGATCCGACAATTCCTATAGGTCCTACAAGGTCTAGGACACACGTCCTGCAAGTTTGATCCAGATCGGACGGTTACTAAAACCCTAACCCTAGGGTTGGCTTATCCGGAGTATCCGGGGCTCCGTTTTACGATCCGTCGAATCCTATACGACCCTAGTAATGCCTAGATCAACATATGAAAACCTCAGGACCATCCAACGGTCCAAACCTAGCGAACCCGGAAATTGCGCAATATGCGATATCCGTTCGAGGCTCTAACAGTATCCAAATTTAGATCCGCGAAATCCTACGTGCTCGTGACATCAAGGGGATCGCATTGGGATAAAAATGCCCAAGCTACAGTGCCCACGCGCCGCCACACGCGCCGGCAGCGCTTGGGTGTCCAAAGCGATATCGCATCGCCGGAAAACTTCCAAATCGAGAGCCAAGACTCCTACCCTAGGTAATACACCTATTTTTGGAGTCACTTTTGTTCTTGGACGTACCCCAAATTATCAATGGAAGTGGCCGGAAATTCAATTTGAAAACCGGCCGAAACCTAATTCCAAAATCGACCTACAAACTCTCAAAATTTCTGGAATCCTCTCCAACAGGCAGCTAGATCATGAAAAATAGTCAAAAATCCATACCTCATTCGTCCGTTTTGGTGGAGAAATGAGAGAGAACGAAGACTTGGAAAATCTGTCAAAATCTATCCGGAAACAGCTCGGATTTCTTCAATTTCCGGCTAGTACCGGCGATTCCAACGGCTGAAATTGGTCGGGATGGGAAGAAGGAGGCAGCCCGGTTCTTTTGGGTCTGATCTCGAAGCCAGCCGTGGCCTGTAACGGCAGTGGTGGCTCCTTGGAGCCACCGGCTGTGTAGAAAAAACATGGGAGGGGGCGGGCTGCTTGCGACCCCCCCAAAGAGAGAGAGAGTTTTCAGATTTTATTAAAAACCCATTTCGAAATATTTACGATTATGCCACTGAGGGTATTTTGATCGTATCTCTCTCGTTACAACTCCGATTCAAGCCCACTACGTGTCTACGGACTCATTTCACCGCGCTCTACGCAACGGTACTGTTGAAATTTCCAAATTCCATCCCGATCAAAAAGTCAACTCTAAACCTCACAAAATATTCTAGGGGCACAATTGTCCTTTTATCTGAATAAATTAATATTCACCAATTTATTTAGGACCGGGTCATTACACATACTATATATGCAATTGCCAAACAAACAATCGTAATTGCATACCGTAATGCAATTGCGAAACAGGGGACGGTAATTGCATACCGTGATGCAATTGCCAAACAGGCTAAGGTAATTGTACACCATAATGCAATTGCCAAAAAGGTAATGATAGCATACTGTAATGCAAGTGCAATTGAAAAACACATAATTAATGTCTCTTTGTTTGGGAATTGCTCATTATGTAAATCCGATGACGATTTTGTCTTTGAAGGTTAATGAGATTTTATATTTAATTTGCAATTACCAAATGAAGATAAAATAATTGCGTTTATTATTTTGCAATTGCATTTATTTATGCAATTAGTATCTCCCTATTTGGCAATTACAGGTTACCTAGAACAAGTTCAGATTTCTTGAAGTTTTTGTATTTTATGCATCGTTATGCCAGTCCAAGTTGGTTTCTAAGTTTACGCGATTACAAATTTATGGATTGGGGTGAATCATGATGTTCTAATTAATAGGAAAAACTGTGTAAATGAGGACCTAAAATCTTGTAGCACATGTAATCGAATGAGATTTGGACAGATTTGCAATTACCAAATGGAGTGTAATTGCATTTGTGAAGTGGTTACCCACATGCCATGGCCATTTTGCACGTAATTAGTGGCTCTAGTTTGAAATTTTGACATTATTTGAGAGATATTTTGGACATTTATCACATTGATTGCCCCACACCCTCATATGCACTTCCCGTATGTTATTAGTGACTAAACTCATAGAAGGTGATTCCTCACAATTACCAGACAAGGAGCTAGTAATTGCATATGGAAATAGCTTAATACGTTGCAAATTGCATTTTTAATTGGCATTTTCATTCTTTAACTTGTTTCGATGGTCATATAGAATTTTATGCCACATAAAAAAAAATATAGAACTGATTCCTCCAATCAAGAACTGAAACCATTGAAAGCATTGCATAGATAAATAGATGAAAGAGGCATTATTCAATTAATCACAGAAACATGGAAACGAAATAATAACGGAAATGAAATGATAAAAGAAAATTGCTCAATACCCTGCGCAGAAACCATTTTCAATTGCAGGTAAAACCTCTTTGAAGATTACAGAAACACAACCAAATTACATGTGATAGATAGATATGGGCATATATAAGCATACGCACCAAACCTGTAAAAAAAAAATTCTCCAAAATCAAACAATCCAAAATTCAGAGATTCCAAAACCAACTAAAACAAATCTTTAACCATTTCCCAAAATAAAAACAAACACTAACAGACCAAACAAAATTTTCTTCTTCTTCATATTTTCAGCTATATATCTCCGACAGTTTTTTTTAATTCTTTGGTCATTCAAGCTTGCTTCATTAAAGCATCAGCTAGTGACACCAAAGGCCAACAAAACAACATAGAAAGGCAAATAGAAAAATAAATATAAACTCAAGGCACCCTGCACAAGAACACGAGCACACGAGCAGGTTAAGTAATAGCCCAAAAGGGAACCCCTCATGCACACTCAAGGCACTCTAAGAAGCATTGTTGGGACCAACATGAGTCATTCTTGGTAGTCCTTCGCTCAACACACTCCCTATAATCAAATAAAATTCACCAAACTTTGACAAGAGATACCTAAATATCTAAGCTTGTTAAGTGGACCTTGGAAGAGGTAATTGGAGGAAAAAAAATTCATATTCAATGGAAATTTCAAAAATTATGAGAAGATCATTGTTATATAATTCAAACACTAGTATAAAGTTCAATAAAGAAACAATTTATAGACATTCAAACTGACCCACCAAAAATTGGAATTTCAATCTAAAATTTCATACCAAGTGGATCTTGAGAGTTAATTCAACTAAAAAACTGCAGCAGAACATAAAATCTAGAAAATATTAGGCTCCACAAGAAATACGAGAGAATAAAAAAAAATAAATCAAGGAAAATGATCGTTGCTAAAGGGTGATGAGATCGGGTCCAAGATTTGAATATACAACAGTAACACATCATATATACTTGGGCTGAGATGAGATCGAAGATGGCGCGCACAGTTTGCATCAGGCCGTCATCACTATCGAGAGAGAAGAGAGCTGAGCAATCTGTACATGGTAGGAAGACTCACTCACCATCATCGAGAAATAGAGGAGTTGGCAATTGAGATGGGTGGATTTTTGGTCGCCGTCAAGAGAGTGATAAAAGAGTAGCTTTTCTATTTTAGAAAAACAAATCTCAAATGAAATTAGGGATTAGAGTTGAGATGGAGAGATATGTTAGACCATCTCCAACCATGTTGGGGCTAAACTCAAATTTCCACCCTCCAAAATACAACTATTCATGTATTTTCAGGACTCAAATTTTTTTTTCCTCCAACCTTGCAGACTCATAATTTAAGTCCGCAACTTTATTAAATTATTTAAGAATGATTAACTCATAATTTTTTTTCTCATTAATTTTTCTTGACATTATTTTTGTTTCAACATTCGTGATTTAATTTTCTAAATATTTTAACCTAAAAAAATTAAAATTCCAAAACATAATAGATTTTCACTTGAAAATAAAAATAAGTACAACAC